GCACCCGGCGCGCTGCGCGGAGCACGCGGAGAGGTAGGCGGCCAAGCGCGCGTTGCAGGCCGCGTCGCCCAGGCAGGCGGCCGTGGCTTCCAGGCAGGACGGCACCCCTGCGAGTCCTGAAAGCAAGCACACCGCGGAGCTGCACGGAGGGGCCGCTGCGTCCCCGGGGCAGCCCGGCAGCGAACGGCGGCGGGCGTCGGGGTGGCGTTGTGGGCAAGAATTGCTCTCCTATGGTGGGCGTGAACTGACCCTGTGCGCTGCGCACGCGCCGTGCGGAGGGACGTGTGCGGCTCGCACCTGCGCAGTAGGACACAGAGCGTCTGCCTGCCCAGAGCCTCAGGTGTGAGCGGTCAGTCCGTGGAAACTGCGCTTGGACTTATGCCTAGGGTCAGTGCATCTGCTCAAGTGTCACTTTCCTTCCGCTGCACAGAACTTTCGGGGCAGTTGGAATCTTTAAAGAAGACTCCACATAGTTATTTAGCACACAACGATGTCCACGTTCTGGAAAGTACAGAACGTACGCAGGTGTAGATATATGAACCTCCCTCCCACTACATATAGTCACGAAATTATTTATTCCTAAACAGTTCAACTTATGTGATCAAAATACCCATGAATTTTAACCACCATCTCGAATTTGGTTTCAAGTGTAAAATATTTCTCGGCACATCCATGACTACATGACGGATGTCCAAAGCAGTTGCTTCTGTTCATCACAGGTGGAAGAGATGCAAATATTTGGTTGTATTTTGTAATATTGTAACTGTGAAGCCATGCCATTTATTTTGTATTGGCATGTATTTTAGAAGCCTGGGAACTAAACATTTAAATTGTATTGTCTAGTTTTTACAATGCAGATCAGTAATAATAATACATAAAATTACCGTGGTGGGAAGGAGTAATTAGGTTCTGTTTGAATTTTTTGTCCTCTTTGATGTCATCTAGAAGGAAAACAAAGAAACCATTTCATTATTGAATGATTTTCTAAAATTCTTAGGAGAATTTATGAATGGTCAAGCAAAAACACAAACAAGCTCATATGACACTTATTTAACCCTTGATGTTCAAAATTACTGAGATAAAGATGAAGATAAATAAACTGCTGTAATATCGTTCAAGTGAGTTTAAGAGCTCTGCTTTGAGGATTCAGTGGGTTGAAGATTTAAAGAAACACCAACGACCAGACCCTGTGTGCTGATGTAAATGAAGAGCCTGTCTGGGGTAAAGAAGAGCCAGATATTGTCCAAAGAAAGAGAAATCCCATCCCGCTGCAGTCTTAACTAGATAGAAATGCAATTTAAAGACTATTTCCACCTCAGAATATCTTACTCTCCAAGAACTTTTAGGAACTATAACTAGGGAATTGGAAAATCTCTCAGACAGAAGTGAACCCAGTGGCCATATAATTCTACAAACCTTCATTCAAGGAACAGTGCACCAAGTGAGATATGAATGGTGCATACCTACAACTTCTGTCACTGAGCATCCTGTAACCTGGTTGGGGAGACGTATTAACCAAACCCAAATAAAATATAAAAACACTAACAGATGTATGGATAATGTGGTAGGGGAATAATATGACCAGAAGTTCATTTCAAAATAAAAGTTACATTTGTGTCATTGGCTGTGAAGATACTATCTTGTGTTATGGTATAAATGTTCCTTCATGACCCAGTTTGTCCACACATGGGCTTTCTGCCCACATACCTGCTTGCCAGCCCTCTGCTCATATGTGATGGTACGATCACATAAAAATCCTTCCCACCACTGAGTGTGTCTGACCTCTTCAGACCTGTACTGTCCCAGGTGGTCTTATTATGTGTTGTTTTTCATTTTCCTGTTGATTAATTCTCAAGCCAAGAGCACTATTTGTTCTTCAGTCCACCTGCTCTCTCTCCAAGGAAGAGCTGATACTCCTACATCTGTGTTACTATCCCTTTGAAATTAACATCATTAAACAGATCTCAGTGAATCACACAGCTTTCTTAAAAAATAAGACTTCCAGGCTAGACCTTCGGCTACACGTTAATACCTCTGCATTGAGGCTTACTGTTAAGGTTGCACCAGTGACTAAAACAGTCCAGAAAATGCCCTGTGCCCAAATGCAGCTGTTGAATCTTACCTCCAATGTCACTGCATTTGGCGAGGATGCCTTAAAGGTAGTAGACAAGAATAAATGTCATAAGCCTGGGAATCGGATTGGATAAATTTAACATCCTTGTAAGAAGATGTGAGGAGAGAGCAAGAGCTGATTTTCTATTACAAGCCAGGAAGAGAGGAGCCCTCCTCAGAAACACATCCTAGTTGGCCTTGATCTGGGACGCCCAACCTCCAGAAAATACTGTAGTTTTTTTCAAACCACAAAGCTTATGACATTTGTTACAGCAGCCTGGGTTGAGTAATTAACTCACTTTTTGAGAAATTATGAGAAATTACTTTATGAGAAATCCCCAAGCAGCAAAAGAGTTACTTTTACTGTGAGAAAATAAATTTCATTTTTTGGTGGTATGCTATTCTGTATGGTATGATTATTACAATCAATTTTCTGCACAGGCAAGGCTAATTTCCTATGGATTCATATATATGTGCTGTATAATTGACATACACACACACCTTGGGGAAAGTCTACATGAAAAGGCATTTGTGCTGAAGATGAGTAAAATCTGATTCTTCTTTTCCTGGCATCCCCATGTAATCTGCCTATATTGGATGCCTCAAGACCCTGAGCACTGGTAACCCCCATCGTGTTCCTTCTGTGTCATTGTAGAAGTCTCCGAACTGGGCTCCACCTTGGGCATCACCTTGTCCACAGTAAATTTTCAGCACAAAAGCCAAAATCATCCTGTCAAAGACCATGGCTCTCCAGGTTGAAGGCTTTCGGTCATTCACCATATCACTGGGAGGAAGAGCCGCAGAGATTTTGAGCATGCAGCCTGTTACATGCAGACTTCGCTTCCTGCACCTCTCTCACTCACTCTCTCAGCTCCAGCTCCAGGGTCTTTCTGTTTCTGCTGTTTCTGGACAGATTCACAGCTCAGGACTTCAAATTCACTACTGCCTGAAGTAACCCATCTCTCCATCTGGCTCATTCTTGTTTTTTCTATTTTTACTCAAATGTTAATCTTTTCAGAGCACTTTTCTGTCCATTCAGTTAAAAGTATAAGCCATCCACCCAAATCTTTTTTTCCCTGTGCTTTTATACTTAGTACTCATTGCTTGAGTACACATATTTTAGAGATATTTCTGCAGTCAATTTTCTCTTGTCCCTATAGGAATGCTGTGATGTACCATTAAGATCCCTGTTTGCTAGTTTCTCTTGCAGTGAGTTTTTGGTGTACAGGAATATTATTGACTTTTGAGTGCTGACTTTGTATCCTGCTACATTACCAAATTTGGTCATTAATTCTAGGTTATTACCAAATTTGGTTATTAATGCTAAAAAATTAATTCTAGGAGTCTATGGTGGAGTTTTGGGGATCTTCTATGTTCAGGATTATGTCATCAACAAAGAATGACAGTTTAACCTCTTCCTTTCCTGCATTTATTCCTTTTATTTCTTTCACTTGTCTAATTGCTTTGGCTAATGTTTCAAGAATGATATTGAACAGATGTGGTGATAGTGGACAGCCTTGTCTTGTTCCTGATTTTAGAGTGAAAGCTTTCAGCTTTAATCCATTTAGTATAATATTGGCTGTTGCTTTGTCATAGATGGCTTTTATCAGATGAAGATAAAGACCTATTCCAATTTCTTTATGGTTTTATCATAAATGGATACTGGACTTTGTCAAATGCTTTTTCTGCATCTTCTGAGATGATCATGTTTTTGACCTGGGTTCTGTGGATATGGTATATTACATTTATTGATTTGTGTATGTGGAACAGTCTCTGTATCTGAGATAAATCTTACTTGGTTATGGTGTACAATCTTTTTTGATGATTGCTACATTGAGAATTTTCTCCTCTATACTTATTTAAAGAGATTGGTCTGTAGTTTTTTGTATATGGCTCTTTTCTGGCTTTTGTATCAGCACCATGCTTGCTTCCAGGGATGACTTTAGGAGTATCACTTCCGTTTCAATTTCATTAAAGAGTTTGAGGTGTAGTGGCATTAGATCTTCTCTTAATTTCTTGTAGAATTCAGCAGTAAATCTATCAGGACCTGGGCTTTTCTTAGTTGGTACTTTTTTACCTCTTCTGTTTCATAGACTGATATTGGATTATTCAGCTTTTCTATGTTTTCTTGCTTCAGGTTTGGCAATTCATATATATCTAGAAATCTATCCATTTCTTCTGGATTTTCCATTTTATCCGAATGCATGTTCTCTGCAGAATCCCTTGTGATTTCAACCTTTTCATTTCTATTTGCATCAATTTAGTTCTTTCTTTCCTTGTGTTGAAAAGGTTGGCTAAGGATTTGTCTGTCTCATTTAATCTTTCAAAGAACCAACTCTGATTTATTGATTTCTTTGTATTGACTTTTAGTCTCAATTGCATTAATTTCTCCTTGATAATTATGATTTCCTTGCTCATATGATCTAGCATCAAGAAAAATGAAATACTTAGGAATTAACTTAACAAAGTAAGTGAAATACCTCTGCAGTGAAAACTGTTATACTCTGGAAAAGATCAAAGAGGATGTCAGAAAATGGAAAGATGTACTGTTCCTGCATAAGCAGAACCAATATAGTGAAAATGGCCATACTTCTAAAACTGTTATGCTGATTAGTGAAATCTAAATCAAAATACAGTTACCATTCTTCACAGACCTGGAGAAAATAATCCTAAAATTTATATGAAACCAGAAGGACCTAGAATAGTAAAAGAAATTCTGGACAATAAGACAAAAGAGAGGGCATTTTGCAAGTTATACTACAAGGCTGTGATAAAAACAGCATGGTTTTGGCAAGAAAAAAAAAACAGACTTAGCCAGGCATAGTGGCACATGCCTGTAATCCCAGCACTCGGGAGGCTGAGGCAGGAGGATCTTTGTGGGTTTGAGATCATCCTGGGCTACAAAGTGAGTTCAAGTCCAACCTGAACTGCGTAGCAAGACCCTGTCTCAAAAAAGATTTAAAAAAACCAAAAAGATTTGAGGACCAATAGAACAGAATGAAAAATGCAGAAACAATTCCAAACACATTTAGTTATCTTACCTTTGACAAAGGGGCCAAATACCTTCACTGGAGGGAACATAGCCTCTTTCTTTCACAAATGGTATTGGGAGAACTGCCTTTACTCATGGTAAGGATTGAACCTAGACCCATATCTCTCACCAGACACTCAATAAAATCAGAACGGACCTCAGATCTAAATAGTAAAACAGAAACACTTGGTCTACTAGAAAACAGAATAGGTAAAACTCCTGAAAACATAGGTGTAGACAAAGACTATGAACCAAACCGCCATTGCAGAGAAATGTTATAAAGAATTAACCAGTTGGATTGCATCAAATTAAGAAGCTTCTGAACAACAGAGAAAATCATCAAGAGTGAAGAGACAACCTACAGAATGGGAAAAAATTGCCAGCTACTCCTCAGAGGACTCGTATCTAGATATGTAAAGAACTCAAAATTTAGCCCCCCCTCATTTAAAGCTCCAATCCAAAAATGGGCATCTGAAGTGAAGAGAAACTTCTCAGATGAAGAAGTACAAATGGCCAATAATTTTTTTAAAATGCTCACATGAAAAGATGCTGAACATGGGTGGCCATTCCAATAGTGAGATTCCATCTCATTCCAGAAAGAATGGCTACTGTCAAGAAATCAACCAATAACAAATGCTGGTGAGGCTGCAGCCTAATATGGAGCCTGTTAAATTCTCTGCACAAACTCTACTGCATTATACTACTCTGGGTCCTTTTTGTAGATTTTGTTGCTGAGTGCCCACCTGAATATATTTTCTGCACACAAACCTCTGTCTCAGCTTCTCCAGGGAAATTGAT